GACTGTAATAAACAGACTTGGTTTCAGAGCCTGGTGTGTTCTGAGGAAAATGATGAACAAAGCAGGTTTCATAGGCCAGAGCTCCTTGAAGAACTACTCTATCTTTCTAGTGTTTTGACCTTGGTCCATCTCACTTATTCTGAAGTTACATCCTACCTTGCATCCTACAGCTCTTGCATCCAAGGGATGCTCTTGCCTCTCCTCCAGACTTGTAGGGATCCTAGAAACTGGCAGGCTTCCTACCTTCCTGAGAGGAAGACCATGATTATTCAATTGCATAGAACAGGAAAGAGAACACCCAAGGACCCCTTTTGGATGCCAACTTCATGCCCTGGTCTAGGTCCTCTTCCACTCTTCTAGATCCTAATATGGGGAAAGGACATGCCTTGGCAAGAGGGGAGGACCAGGTAAGACACCTCTTGGTGTCTCCCCAGAAATGTTTTTATTCCATTTGCTATTAGTTTGCTCTTTTTGGCCCTCATACAAGTCCCCCATCCTTTCATCTAATGAGAAGAGAGACAAACAGACAACTCAAGACAGGAGAGCTCACTTACTGGATTATTTCACTGGTGGCAGATGCCTCCTTTGATGACTTCTAACCATACTCTCCACTCTGGGGCTCTTACCAGATGTTTGTGTGTTTGTCTGACACTTTGACACACACTGACTTCACCTACTCCTAACCTGCCTATCATCTGTACTGGCCTCTGGCTGTGTCTTCCTCTTTTGATTTTAAACTAAGACTCAATATCCTTAGTGATGAGTAACTCCATATATTTTCTTCCCCAAGAACCCTTCTTTATTTTTCCCTATAGATTCTTTCTTTTCAAAGAATAAGTGGATCAGTCAATCTGCCAGTTATAATTTAACCTATTTGCAAGTGACAGTCCTAAACTTAAAAATTAAGACTATAAAATGAGGGCTGGAAATATGGTTTAATGGGTAAAGGTTCTGTGTCACCAAGCCTGATAACCTAAATTTGATTCCTACAATTTATATAGTGAAAGGCAAGAACATGTGCACATGTGTTACACACACATACACACAAATAAATAAATGTTTTTAAACATATTTTTAAAAGATTATAAATAGCTGAAAACTCAGGTTTTATCAGTATGGGCTGGCAAATTTTATCTCATTGGATTGTTTAATTCAAGTAAGGAACTTTTTTTAAATGTTAGTTAGATTTGCCAGGATTTCTTTTATGAAGGTTAACATACTGAAAACTATTGCAAACATGATTGCACTCTCTTTCAATAGCATTAGAATCAGAAGACGGGGTTTTCTCCTGCAGACTTCTTGGCCATATGATCTTGTGCACATTACTCGGTCTTAAGTCTTTGTCTACAAAATGTCGATAATGATTTACCCAATGTCATTGCAGGACTGATTTTAGGCAACACACATCAAAGTAACTTAAGGCTTTTCATGTAACTGCACACATGTGTGCCCAGTTGCCTGTTGTTTCCAAGACTTTTTCAAAGTCAGCAGTGGCGTTGTCTAGTCACTTAACCTTAGCTTCTCAGCTCATCCTCCTGAGTCTTAACACCCAGTGTCTCTTGCTTCATCTCTCCCAAACCCGGTCTCTTCTGCATTAAGAAGCTCTAAGTTCAGCCTCAGTTAGTAGAGTCAACAGCATTCCAGCCAGAGCTGCCTAGTGGGTTACTGCGCCTGTGTCCAGCCTGAACTTCCCTACCAACTGAGGCTAAGAGGCAGTGTTTGTCAGCTTGTTTTCTATAAAGCCTCTAAAGAGAAGAATTACTGAACTGGGGCAATGGCTCAGAGGTTGAGAGCACTGACTGCTCTTCCAGTTCAGTTCCTGGTTCAATTCCCAGCACCTATAGGGCAGCTCACAACTGTCTATAACTCCAAGATCTGACACCCTTACACAGACACATGCAAGCAAAACACCAATGCACATAAAATAAAAATAAATTATAAAAGGGGGGAGAATTACTACACTTATGGCTGTGGTTTTGAGCTCAGCATGTCAGAGGCCTCCAGGCAGACTGTGACAAAGGTGTGGGATTTCTCATGTGTACAGATGGGACTCACCACAAATCCACAAGATCAAGAATCACAGATAAAGTGTTTTATCTTAGAAAATATGAAAAATATTATGGGGAGCTCCAGAACCCTTAAATGGCACTTTGTCATGAGAATCACAAGTACAAAAATGTGTCTGTATTGGGGAAAAGACACAATGAAGATGTTTGGACTAGGAAAAGAACTTACTCTTCAAATTCCCAAGAACTTCCCTCCAGTGAATGACTGAAAGCTGTTAAACACTTGTCACACGCCCAGTCCAGGAAACTGCCACAAGGCCTCCCACAGAAAAGTGCACTGGGGAGCTAACTGCTAGTGCAGGGACGACTGAAGCCCATGCAGCAGAGGGCTAAGTCCTGAGACCACTGCTTCAGATTCCAAAACGCTGCTATTGAAAAGAAACTGCTTCCACTACAATAAATCTTAAATCCAGCTGTTTTCACTGACCAAAAAAAGGAGGAGGAGGAGGGAGAAGAGGAGGAAGAAGAAGGAACAGTAGCAGCAGCAGCAGCTCCTCCAAGGTCACCACAGAACCTGGTTCTTTCTTCCATAAGCCAGTTACCCCTTGCCAGCATTGTAGATCCACACAACTCTTCTACCTTCTCAGTGGCCCAGACCCCAATATTTGGGGTGACTCATGAGTCTCACTCTTCTTACCTCTATCTAATGTCAAGTGCACTGGGGTTCTTTCCAAATGTTCTGAATGCAAGTTTTCCTTTCCCTGTCCAGCCCTGCAAACACCTTCACCTAGATCTACACACCTCAGATTAGGACAAGATCTGTGACTGATTGACCTGCCTCTCATATCTAAAGGCATGCTTAGCAAATAGCAGCTGTTCAATACATGTTTGCTGAATAAATGAGTGACAGGTAACACATCTGATGACGCATGGGTTACTGCTGGCAATCCAGCTGCTGATCTATCTAGACTGTTTGTCCCCAGCCTCTGTCTACAGCATTTCCAGTGTCATCTTTACAAAACACCACTTCCATTAAGTCACAAATTGACACAAAGCCATCAGTGCTTCCTCCTTTCTAAGGAAAGAAGTTTAGACTTTACTCTTGCCCAGTCTGTCCCCTGCTCTACCTGCCCATTTTTCTTTCCCCATGTCACTCCACCAAGCTGACTTGTCTCCCTGATGAATAGACCTTCTGAGAGCATGCTCTATGTGGTCTTCATGCATGTTCTATTATTCTCCCCAGAAAATGCTCCCTTTTCCTTTCTGTGTGCCTGAGCCCATGAACTACTTTACCTGTGGACTCTCTAGAATGGCCTACAGTAACCTCTCCACACTGCAATTTTCACCAAGTTCAATCCACAGAGCACCAACCACAGTGCTACCAGGAGTACAGATTCCTGGAAACCCTTAAATATGGGCTGATAAATGGTCCTACTCAGGATGACAAGAAAGGGGACAGAGAATGAGGCTTTAGATTCAGACACCCAGAAAGAAGTGGAGATATGGATCGCTGGTATATTGATACAGCAAGCAATCATTGATGAAGCTAGGCAAGGCTGCTTGCCCTTGTTATCTAACACTAGGGCGTCTGAGGCAGGAGGATCACTATCATTTGAAGCCACCATGATGGTGACACAATATTCCTGTACCATGTTGTTCATCATTGTGTCATTCCCAGACCCTTTTTGCTTCCAGAAGGCCCCAGATGGAATGAATTTTCGTCAATTCCTCGGAATGAGAACCTCATATGATTCCATGTGATAATGGGTCCAAAAGGCAAATGGTGATTGTGTGACTAAGGCTGGAAGTAGGTCCTTGCCCATCTCTCAGGCAGCTGCCTTCCCTGTACCATACCATCTTAAAGGGGACTGCTCCAGTCAGCACTGAGATTGTGAGAGACCCTGAGGCAGAGGCTCTTAACATAACTGTGCCCATATATATTCCTGACAACAAACTATGAGATAATAAGTTTTGCTGTCCTAAGATTATTAAACTCGGATAATCTGTTACAATGCATTAATAATTAATACCTAGATGGTATCGCATCTAGTAAGTGAGGATAAAAATGTGGTGAATATAGAATAACCTGATAGGACAGACGGTTATGTGTGCAAGGCAAGGGAGATATAGGGATGACAGGACAGGGTCACCTCTATCAAAAGATAGTGGATACCTGCATCACCACCTTCATGACGTAGACAGGGGACAATGCCTACTCAAAGCTCTACTCCCCACTATCTAGCACTGGGACTTGGCTCTGCCTACACCTCTCCATGTCTCCTTGCAGTTTCAGAACACTACCTTTACCACTTACCACTAGTCACATATGCTGGGTCCATATACAAAGCACAAAGAGCCGCAGGGATTTAAGACTAACTACCAAGGTTAATCTATAGTCATTCATTAGGAGGCCTGACTCTTAGGATATATTACACAATGCGCATCTCAATCAAACTATATTAATTTTTTTGCTTACTATAGATACGAAAATTACTTTTAAGATTGGCTTTATATGAGTATGCTTGTGTGACTGTATGCACGGTGTATATTAGGGGAAGGAGGAGTGCTCTAGAGGCCAGGAGACGTGTCAGACCTCCTGAAGCTCTGAGCCCACCTACTGTCTGTGTGTTTTGGGAACTGAACCCAGGACCTCTAGAAGGGCAGTGTGTACTCTCTGATCTATCTCTCCCTAAATTACTTTAATAATTAAGCACATGGAAGCACAAAACTGTAAACAATGCATCATGGGATCTAAAGAGTGTAAAATTCTTTTTTAATATTTCCTTGAATAATTTTAACCATTTCTCACCAAAAAGCAACAGCAACCTGGAATCCAAAAACAACTGTCATGCTGCCAAACAGTAGGACTGAGGGCAGCCTACAAGCAAGTATCCCTAAATTCCAAATTCTGACACAAACTTAAGGCCTTTCACCAGGAGATAAAAGATTCTGGGTTGTATTTACTTCGGGCTGCAACATGGCTATTTTACTTACCATCTGGAAGTTATAGGAGAATGTACGCTTTCATCCACAGGAGCCGTTAACACCTGGTGGTTTACAACATCTAGATACTTCTCGATGTGAATCTGTTACAGAAAAGTCAAAGTTCAGGCCATTATGGTGGATGTAAAATACTCAGCTAATTTACTCCATTTCATTAGGTCAATACTTTGGATTGTGTAATTAAGCCCCCCAAAATGCACAAAACACTATGTGTTATTACAAGCCTAAGGTATCATTAGGCATCTCAAGGCCACATTACTTCAAATGTCCCAAAAAACATAATGAACAATTGAGACTAAAAGCTAAGTGACCTAAAGCCCTCATCACAAATGAAACTGCACCAAAGTCAGTAATAGCTTGGCTGTGTAGATCTGACCCAGCATATCAACATGCAATCTTTCTCCTACATGAGTTTCAAGCAGCCATCTGAAGAAAACAGGATGGTAGTCACCCTAAACCCAGCTCTGCTAAACAGCGACATAGAGACCTGTGAGGGCCATCGATCCTTCCTTCTTTCCCCAGTATTTTATTTACTGTCTAAAGCTTTACTTACTTTTAACCCCATTTCAGTCCTTTGGATTGCTGTCTCAAGATTCTTAATGTCTAGAGGGTCTCTTGTCTCCCCACTTGAGAATTTTGTTAATTTCTCCTTTAATTGATGAAGGTCCTCCTGGACCTGAATACAAAAATAAACAAATAAATAAATAAAATAGATTGAAGTATACATTGTCTACCTATTGCAGATTTATTGTTAGTTTTGAGACATGGTTTTGCACAGTCTGGGCTAGCCTTGGGTTTTTCACTAAGTAGCTAAGGATGACCTTGGACTTCTTTATCCTGCTGTCTCCTTTTCCAGAAACGGGGATGATTACAGGTGAGCACCAAACACACAGGCTTTTATTCAGTTCTGGAGACTGGATTCAGGGCGAGGCAAGCACTCTAGCAACTGAGCCACGTCTTCAGCCCTGTAGTTAACGACCATACAGACCTACAGTGGGCTTGAGTCGCTAGACACACATGGCTCTATGGGTTTCATTAAAAAGGACTAGCCTCCAGAGAAACCCTGTGTGTGGGGGCCGGGGGGGGAGACTAGCCTACGTGGCTTTAGGGCAACCCTATCATCCCAGAGTTTGGACAAGGAACCTTCTGAATCATTACTATTTTGTGCTGCTTCTAGAAACAGAGTCAAGATGGAGGGGTAGCCAGGATGGCTCTGCTCTCCCAGGTGGTAAAGCAGATGGGCTGGAGATGGTAACTCTGCACAAGGCTCTGACTGCTACACACAGGTTAAGGTAAGAAAACAGGGAGCTTCCAGCAGAAGTGAGGCTCTAGCAGAAGCGGCTCTTTCACGAGTACAGCAAATGTGCACACAGGGCCTGGTGGCTTTCTGCCCTAGCAGGCTCTGCCACACACTGCTCTGAGGAAGCAGTCCTTTATGCAGGTCTTTGATTTTGTTTTGCTTAGTGAGAAACGGAAGTAATCCATGAAGGGGTGAGGGGAGCATCACACGCCATTGCTTTAGCTTGCCCTGCTGATGTGTGTTTCCTTGGAAATGGTGAACATGTTTCCGGCAGGCACCCTCGGGATCAAATCGGCATCAAACACAAGGAAGCGGCTGACTCTCTGCGTGCATATTAGAAACCAAACTTCAGATAAATGCAGATGGCACTGATTATTTCCTGGGCTGCTGCCACAAGGAAAACATTTTGTTATGCTAATTCACAACCCCAGACACCTGTTTCAGCAACAGTCACACCAAGAGCAATCTGCAGATTGGGTTGCTAAAGGCATTTTGAAAAGTCTACCTGTGCTCTGGTAGGATAACTGGACTTGCACATTGGTCCAGCCTATGTTATTGTTTACTTGGGGATGTTCCCACGGAACCCAGTGCCATATTCAAGAGGCAGAATTTGCATCTTTTCACTGATGCACATCAAAGTCTGGCAGACACATCTGATTATTTGTACTCTGCTCAGATCGTCACACAGAATAGAACCTCCAGGGCTCACAGATTGATACCTGAACACACTCACTATTTGCCAGGAGGGACCAAAGATGAAGAGGTATGCCTTCTGATTCTTTTGCCCAGATCACTACTGTGATCTGATTTACCATCTACTGCTTGAAAATATGTGCAGCGTAAGGGGCAGCTCAAGGGGAGAGCTTTTTGGGGCCCTGACATTGTGGTTTCTCCTAGGAGTGAACTGACTCTCTCTTCTGCTTTTGCAGCTCAACCGATCTTTTTATAGTGATGTCTTTCAATCATGTGAGAGAGTGAAACTGATTTGGTTTTAGTTCTCCTCCATCTGCCCCTACTATGAGCAACAATGCTCCTCCATAGAGCTGTGAGAGAATACGTAACAGGCCCAGTACAGAAGAACCCCGGGAATGGCAGCTGCACAGAGCTCCTAGCACTAACTCTAAGCATACAGTTTCCACGTATATTATCCAAAATTTTAGCACCTCCTCTAGTTACTTCTTTTTTTGCCAGAATAGAATCATTTCCCTTCTTTTTTGGAATTAGTAAATGAAAGTGAGGTAATGGGCATAAAAATGAAGCAATACAGGCTTTGTTGCCAGATGTATATGAGCTGGAACTCTGCCTGAACTTGGGAAGGTTCTCACCTGGAAATAGGAATTCACACTAGCTACTTCAGGGTAGATGTCAGAAATGATCTGTAACATGTTTTGTACAGGTAAGCCCCAGAGAAGGAGTGTGGACCCCTGCTCTCCGGATTGAAAACCCTAGCAAAATTCATTGCATGTGACTGGCTGACAGTATCACTGAGTGGAATTGCTCGTTCATCTTTCTCAAGAGGGTTCTTGGGTTCTTGCTAGGTTATTTTGTTCTATCCTCTTAAGAAGACTGCACTAGAGATGAGCATTGTGGGAAACACCACACCAGACCCAGCAGAAAATGGGATTAAATTCTAAGTTTCTATTATTTTTTCAGTTACATCCAGTATGCTGTATTGAAATTTTATAGGCCACCCATTATTATCTCTATGAACATCAAAAACACTACTTGCCATACAGTTTCTGCTTAGAAACTATTATTGTCTTGACAGTCTGGGGACAGAGCCATTATTAATAGAAACCCTTGAAAGGCTTAATGCAGCAAAGATTTGCTGTAGATCCTGAAAGATCCATGAAACCAGACGCCACAAAGTCTTCAGCAATATAAAATTCCATTTTGTTCACTTCTACTCAGCACAAACGTTGGCTGACTCATACTCATCTCTTGGAGTTACTTTTAACCTTGTACATTTTGATATATGTGTATGTTATAAATCATACACAGGGACTGATAAAGTCAATGAAAACATCAATCTGTCAAGTTAGCTTCATTGTTTCCAAGCTATGTCTTCAGATATAACTGCTGGACTTTTGTAATATACTTTCCAAAACTGATCAAAAAGGTGATTTTGATGGAAAAACCATGTATCAGTCATTGCAGGAACAGTATATTAAATGTACAGATACAAAGGAGACACACACACACACACACACACACACACACACACACACACACACACACACGATCTACTTAAGGATCAGCCCACATTGGATTTTACCACTTAGATCAAATTACATGTTTGTACTTGACTTTCTTCTATAGACTGAGGCCTAATACTTGCCTAGCATGGTTGTTAGGACTCCATGAAATAGGCCACAGCTCCCAGCATGGCCTGGTTCTCCCATATAACCCTCTTTACTTCTCTAACCTGACTAGTTGAGGACAGATTCAGCTAAAACTGTAAAAATATCTCAATTATAGGCCCTAAAGTAAAAGAAGTTGTAATTAATAGAATGTTGCCAATAGAACTCCATGAAGACACAGTTCTCTGGTTCCCATATCTGACAATGGCGCAGGATATTGACAGTTGGAACTGTTCTGTAAATTGCAAACATTTAGCTTTTCTGGCAAGTTACCCAGATAGTTCGATTACCACTTGTGCTTAAATTTGCTCCTAAGTACTTCAGATATATTCTCAAAGCACTACTGTCCTACTTTGCTTTCTGTTACTATGATGGACACCATGATCAAAAGCAACTTGGGGAGGAGATGGTGTGTTTCATATTACAGCTCACAGTTTATCTTTGAGGGGAGCCAGGGCAGGAACTCCAGCAGGACTGGAAATTGAAACAGAAGTCATGGAAGAACTCTATTACAATTTTGGTCTCCCTGGTTCATACTCAGTCTGCTATCTTACACAACACAGAACCATCTGCCTAGGGGTGGTACCATACACAGTGGGCTGGGCTCTTTGACATCAATCAGCAACCCAAAAACACCCCAGACTTAACCTACAGGCCAATCTGATGGAGGCAGTCCCCTAGGTGAGACTCCATGGACAATTCTGAGCTCTGTCAAGTTGACAGTGGAAGCTACCTAGAACTATGTCTAACCTTAATCTGTCCTACTCATATAAAAGGGTCTCTATGTATGTTAAATATTAGTACAGCTCTAATCACTTGTTTCTACATTCGGAGAGTTTGATTATCACGGAATCCTTCTGTAAAAAAATCAAACTACATGGTTTTACAAATGAATGTCTAGTTTCTAACATATACCATCTTTCCATGCATTCTATATAGATATATATATATATATATATACATAAACTTCAGAGAGTCATGAACTGTTGAAGGAATAGTTAACAGAAGGGCACCTAACAGGCCTCTGTGCAGAATAAAGGAGTACTGTCATGAATCCTTACTCTCCAACTCCTGCTCACATTGCATGGATTCACAGGTCCTATTATGCCACAGAGCATAAGTGAATTTAGCTTGCTCTTTTAAATGCAACAGTAAACTCTGTGGTGTGAAATCAGCCTGAGCTTTTGTTAAAATCTGATGCTAACCCAGTAAACGGAGTGTTTCTTTAACTGCTTGATGCTTATGGATCATGAGCAACTTAGCCATGTTCCCTGATGCAGATTCTGAGGAAGTAAAGGCTTCTAACAGGCCGAATTGCAAACATTTGCAGATGGGATGAAAAATGGAACAAACCCACAAGGAAACCTATCAGATGACACAGTATAAGTTCTGAGAGTTCTAATTGAGGAGATGATCTGAGGATACTGCTTTCAGGCTGTTCATGGGTATTACATTCAAAATTAAAATTGAGTTTGAGTATTTTAAAGTTATACCATTCAAAACAATCTTAAAATCAGTAATGGTTTTATATTCCCTGCCACTTGAAATAGAATTAGATAATTATGACACAGTTCCTGTTGTAGTTATTTTAATACACTGAAATGGAAAAGGAAGGATTTAAATGCCCAGGAACAAGGGGAGACATAGGGAAAGACCCTGTTTATACAGGGACAAATGGGTTGAAAGGCTTCAGAACCATGTTGGCATTTTCTGTATATATGGACCTACCTGCAATATTTATGTTTTCTTAGTTTCCGAAACATGAACTAATAGCACTAGCCTTGTTGCAAGGTCAAATTAAACTATATGCAGCAAGCACTTAGAATGGTGTGAGATACCTGGTAAGTGCTATGTTAACTTGATTGCTGTGATTTTTCTTTGAATCTATGTTTTGTAATATAATTGAAATAATGGCTGTCAGATTTGAGGATGCTCCCGAATTCTCTGCAAGGTCTATGAAGGCAGATCAGAGCCCTGGCCCCAGAGTTTCTGATCTAGTAGGTATGGAATGGGACCTGGGGATATGGTCTTGTAATATCTAAGCTGGTGCTGATGATGTTGGTCCTGGGACCACACCTTGAGAAACTTTGGTCTAAAGATTAGGACTTTAATGAACCTGACTGGGACAGGTGGAGATTTAAAATATCTGTGCTTTACAACCAATTAATTACACACACGCGTGCGCGTGCGCACGCACACACACACACAACACTTAGCAGAAACACTTTTTACCTAGATTAAAAGTAAAGGAAGGCTACTTTTATAGTAAAATAGAAACCATGTCATGTTGGGGAAACTGGATGATTTTGGAGTCTGAAGTGGATCCAACCCAAACAATACATTCTGTAGAAAAAGGCACAGAAGCCTACAGGTGATGTGACTAGCTCAAAGGTATTTACCTGTGCAAATATCAAAGCACGGTTAGACCTGAGTGTTCTGGCTCCTAACCAAAATTTCCTTTTAGTCAACTCACTTGATTATTGGTAGCCTGTTTGAAGAAATAGTTGAAGGCCCAGACAGAAGTATAATCCATGTGGGCACAGGGCAGTGCTGCTTGTCCCAGAACTCAAGACTCACTGAGAAGTGGGGAGGTTCCATATTGCCTCATCACGCAGATTCTATGTAGAGAATTCCATCCTACACAGAGATCAGCTCCAATAAATAGAATGACCCAGCAGTTGGTAGGCTTTCCTCCTTCACATAGCTCTCCACTCAGTGTGTCTAGAGAAAGCTTCTGCTGTGGAAATCTGTTCTCCAAGCATTACAGTCATTATCACCACCTAACTAGTCACCAGTAGCTGTAACCATCCACAAGTATCCATCAGGCCTGGCCCATTGGCATTCCTCACAGAAGCTGGAGGTGGGGAGGCCATTAGACTGAGATTCCAGTCACTCTTTCCTACACCCTGTATGCAATCCTTCCCAAGCAGCATGTGACCTCATGGTCTCCAGAAGTAAGGTCTCTACAGTGCAGAAGGTTAGCTAAAGTAGAGGACTCCTTGTGTGCGGCTTTAAGGACGCCATTTATGCTGGGGGAAGACGGGTGATTCAGATGTTTGGGGGTCACCTACACTCCTACAAGTAATCCCAATAAAACTAATTACTTTGGTGCTTGTCTTAGTTGGGGTTTTATTGCTGTGAAGAGACACCATAACCATGCAAATCTTATAAAGGAAAACATTTAATTTAATTTAATTGGGGTGTCTTACAGTTCAGAGGTTTTGTCCATTATTGTCATGGTGGGAAGCAAGGCAGCATGCAGGCAGACATGGTGCTGGTGCTGAGCGTCCTTACATCTTGATCCAAAGGCAACAGGAAGTGAACTGTCTCACTGGGTATGGCTTGAGCATATATGAGACCTCAAAGCCTCCACAGTGACACACTTCCTCCAACAAGGCCACACCTCCTAATAGTGCCACTCCCTCTGGGGGCCATTTTCTTTCAAACCACCATAGTTCTTCATCCGAGGAAAGCAAGTGTTGTGTTCATGTCTGCACACAAAAATCTCACACAACACCTTCCTAAACAAGCAGGACACCAGTTAATGTAGAGATGGCTATGTTACACCTTTCCATTTGAGTTTCACAACCCAATGTCACAAGTTGGCTCTCACTGTCATGTAACTTAAGTTAGTCAAACAACTTTATCTGGATTTCACTATGAAGAAGAAATACTCTTAATATACTGTTCTATCCTAGTCCAGACCACAAGAAATAATTGTTTTAAGGAAAAGTGGGAAAGTGAGCCCCAGAGTTCTCTCTTTATTTCTCCCTCTCCCCTCCCTCCCCCTTCCACCTCTCCTCCCACCCCTTGTCCCAGGTTTGGTGAAACAGGAAACTGAGTGCTCCTGTGGTCAAGGTCCCTGTGGGGAAGAACTGGCTGGTCCAAGGGTTGGGGGAAGTCTGGTTGTTTAATGCCAAGGAAAAGGGGGCTCTGTGTAGCGAAAAACTAACTGTACCCAAAGAGAGGTCTGGCCTTTGCCCTTGGCTACTGAGAGATGATCTCTAACCCCCCTGGGATGTCCTGCCTGACAGAAATGTCTGGATGCATTAGCCACAAGACAGTCTAACAGCAAACACAGTTCAGAGTGGGGTTTTAAGCTGCCCTGTGTCGGGTGTGATGTCTGGAGGAATCAGAGCCTACAGTGTGAGATTGAGCCGCAATCAAACTCTGAGTAGGAAAAGCTCAGGTAAGTGTCTCCAGCTGTCCAAATTCTGTATATGTCTGTGCCCGGGAGGAGGTGAAGATGCCCACAGACTCTTCTGGGATTGCCCCAGGAGCGTGCCCTATTATTGCTCTACTTGGTTTTCCATCTTTCTTTTCACTATGACAGATCCTAATCACAAGTGTAGCACATCTGAGTTTCACAAGTCTTGCTCACAAACAATATGATGTGAGGCTGTCTTGGGACCCATAGGCTCATAGCCAGTTTTTCTGACCTGAAGGTTTCCCTGGAGATTCATAACCTTGCACCTGGTGTCAGAGTGAGGGCACTAGTGGGGTCTATCCCCTCCGATGTTCCAGTTGGCTAAACTCATCACAGGGTAAATTGTTGAGAATGATGCAAGGTAAGGTTTGTAGATTCAATTCCTAATGGGGAAATCTATGAATCTGGTGCGTTTAGGGCTTGTATTTCTTCTAGAAGTGACTGACCTTTCAGGAAATTATTTTAAGCCTTAGTCAAAGGGAGCTAAATATGAGAGAGAAGTTATGGTAAGTGAGGAAACATCTTAAAGTGACCATATCTAAACTTGGAAAAAAAACAAAATACCTTAGCTATTTCAGAAAAATAAATTTAACTGTCACAAACTAAAGAAGTCGGGATTTTGATAGCTTTCTCTTTAGATTATATATTTCCCTGAGTTTTCATTTGTGCCACATTTCTATATTGATTTCTAGTTCAAGTTATCTTTAATGTTTGGTGTGTGTGCCCAGGCAAATTAAGAAGCACAGGTCCCATAATTCACTTTCTCTTCAAATTCTTTGAAACATCCTAATGAATCTGTGTCTCCCGCTAACCCCAAGTCACTGACTTTAAACATTTTGTAATATATTTTTAAATGGTGCCGTGAACACCTGAGCCTGCTACTGCAGATTTATAATCCCTGCTACTCGGGAGGCTGAAGCAAGAGGGTCACAAGTTCGAGGCCTGCCTGAAAGACAGCGTGATTTAATGACCAGCGGGTCTCAAAGTAAAAGGAGGGCTGGTGGTGCAGCCTCGTGGTAGTGCACTTGCTTAGCGCCCACCTGGCATGTTCTGTGTTCAACACTCTCCTCCCCACCCCCCACAAACACGAAGCACTACAGGGTAACTGTGTTTCCTGCTGTGAGGCCGAGTGTGAACGGCGGTGCTTGGGGGGGGGCACAGGTTTCGGGACTCGCAGGGAGGTTTGCGCGGCCGATGGCCGGGTCGGTTTCCCACCTGGATTAGGATGGATCCGATGGGGTCATTACCCTCCTGACCCTGCGCCATGGCTGGGGCTGGATAGAGGACTCTTGTCTCGGGAGGTGCGGCTTCCCGAGCGCTTCTAGGAGGCGGGGACGCCCGTCTCCATAGCAACGCGGCGCGCTCCACTGGAGAAGCGGAAGGGGATGTGCTGGCCGCCGGAGCTCAAAGCGCAGCGCGTCCTCTGAGCGTCTCCCCCTCGCGTCGGCCGCTGTGGTGCGGTCCAAGGCGGAAGCGTCAGCGCGGAACCTGCTCTGCTGCAGTCATGGCTGCCGGTGTCCCCTGTGCTCTGGTCACTAGCTGCTCCGCCACCTTCACCGGGGACCGGCTGGTGCAACGTGAGTAACCGGGCGCCTGGGCCGGGCTACAAGGCCCAGTTCGGAGCGGCGGGCCTGGGGCCGGCGGCTTCTCCCTGGCCCTACCAGCGCTGGGCCCCGGGCTCCGGTTCCTACTCAGGTGTCTACCCCCGGCGCTTAACCTTCTTCCTAAATTAAGTGAGGCCAATCTCCGATCTCCAGCTTCAGGGGTGCGGCAAGCAGCCCCTAACGGGATACTCAAGGCCCTGGATATTGTGCCCTTCAGCGAATGTAAGGCGCTGGAGCTGCGGTGTTGTGCTTTGGAGGTGATCCCCCTGCTGCTAGGGTGGTATGTTTGTTTCCTCCTGTGAACTGAAATGCTCAGGGGGGAAAGAAAGACGCTAAATGTCCTGCCAGGATGAGCGACTGACTAGAACTCCTGTGATTGTGGAGAGCTGAATTTTACTAACTGCAGCTCTTGGGCTAACTTTAGGCCCCTTCATAGCCATTTGTTGCCTACCTCCGTGTCTGATTATCAGGTAAATCTTTTTGGAAATAAACAAACCCATAGCTTCCACCAACCCAAAGGCTAAGAATGTTATCATAGTATCTGCAGCCTACAGCTGAGGCTTACCCGATTTTTAGTAATCCACCTACCTGATGTTCTCACCGATGTATTTTTAAAACGCCCTGATTTATGGCCTTTTTATTGTTACTATAAAAACACCGTGAAATTGTTACCATGTTGGAACGATTTATTTGAGGAAAACCCATTTCCTGTTCCCTGTCTGTGATCACTCATATTTGGCTCCAGAATAAACTCTTTTTTTTTTTTTTTTTTTTTTTTTTGGTTTTTCGAGACAGGGTTTCTCTGTGGCTTTGGAGGCTGTCCTGGAACTTGCTTGGTAGTCCTCTGCCTCCCGAGTGCTGGGATTAAAGGCATGCACCACCAACACCTGGCTCAGAACAAACTCTTAACTCCCTTTGAGGTGAGAGCTGTGGGCATTCTTGACTCAGACAGACAGACAGGACAGGACAGGACAGCATTGCAGTTAAATGTTTCAAATTCCTCCTGAGGTGCAGGTTCTCCAGCAAAGTGAGTTTGGGGTATTACTGCACCCAGTGCTTTTGCTTCTGGGCCCTAAGCATGGCTGTAAACTCAAGTGGTTTTCCTTTGGGGGGTGTGTTTTCTGTCTTTTAATTCCCACTGCCCTGTGTATACTAAGTATGACAGTGTACCACTGAGATAGATACACCCCAGCCTCAGAACTAATGAGCCCTGATGTGTAGATTGTCAGACAGACTAGTGAGGCAAGAAGAACTAAAGGGCCCGCTCACAGCCAGTTCTGTCACTCAAGAGCCTTGTGAAGTTGAGTTGCATGTAACTCATGACTTCCGTTTTAAACATGTTGACTCTTTACCCTGACTGTGGGTAAGTCACTTAACCTCTGCCCCTCAGGTTCCTGTCTATGGGAAGAGGGCAGTTCTTAGAGGATTGTGTTTCACCAGGCTAGCGTGTGGTAAGCATTGATAAGTGATTGGCATTATTATAAAAGCGAATCATCTGTTTAACTCAGGGATTGCTGATCCATAAAGGGAGTACAAGTGTATATGGACAGGTGTTTCAGGAGAGACAGTTAATGTTGGTTTGCAAATTTGTCGTAACCTGTAAAGCATTATGCAGTTTGTAATTATTTTTTTACATGTGTTGGCCAAATTAGGCAAGCTGTCCTTCTAGCACAGATATTCTATAGTTTGCTTATTGTGAACACTAGAAAGTTCCTTGCTAGGGCAAAAGCGTAATTACGCACTTACTAAATGGTAACCAAACTCTCTGCCATTCCCTTACGTCCTTCAAGCAATTCTCTTCCTTCCCTCTTGCCAGGTCTCCTGTCCTTTCCCGTTATAGTGTTTCATGTTAAATGCATACTCTGAAAGTAAAATTTAGCATATGGAGAAAAAATGTTAGCCAACATTTTGGTGGTGGTCTTTGCCGTCTCCCCTGGCCCCCTTCATACTTTCTGTATTTCGTAATTATTGTAATTATATACTTCTACTTCATATGTAGTTTTTAGCCTGATGTGTGTGTGGTGTGGGATGGATCCCAGGTTCTTGCACATGCTAAGCAACATACCCTCATCCCCTGTCCTGATATATTGATATATGGGGAATTGTGGGAACAACAGACCTTGGCCGGAGGCCCACTTCCCCATCAGCCTGGGACCAGGCAGCTGTAAGACAATGTTTACTAAAAGCATGTTTACTAAAAACAATACAGTGCCCAGGGCAATAAATTCCTGAAAAGGGCTCGCCCACGGGAATGCCCTGACCTCGACCTTTTCCAAAGAATAACCGCCTCTTTCTAGCCCACCCACCGCTGCCTCTGGTGTCAGGGTATATAATAACCAGCCAGGGTAGGGATAAAAGAGAGCCTTCTTGAGGAGCCTTCTGAAAGCCAAGGACCGGTCTCTGTGTCATCAATCCCGATACCCTCCCTCCGCACATTCTCAGACGCAGACTGTGCAGGGGGGCGCGGCATTAGGTAACTCCAAGTCTTGTTGAAATTAGGTGCCACTCTTTAGTGTCCCAATAGTTAGGAACGCAAGAGCAGAACGGTGGGCAGATTATTTGAGTAAGAGAAGCCATAAGAGGGTTGGAGTGATGGCTCAGCAGTTAAGAGTACTGGCTGTTCTTCCTAGAGGTCTTGAGTTCAATTTTCAGGACCCACATGGTAGCTCACAACCATCTGTAATGAGATCTGGCGCCCTCTTCTGGCATGCAAGCATACATGCAGACAGAACACTGTATATATACTAAATAAATACATCTTTAAAAAAGAAAGCCGGGCGGTGGTGGCGCACGCCTTTAATCCCAGCACTCGGGAGGCAGAGGCAGGCGGATCTCTGTGAGTTCGAGGCCAGGCTGGACTGACAGCCTCCAAAACAATACAGAGAAACCCTGTCTCGTAAATACCAAAAAAAAAAAAAAAAAAAGAAGAAGAAGAAGAAGAAGAGAGAAGCATAAGAGATGGTTTGTCAGCTCTCCCAAGGTCTTGGGGATGGAGACTGCAGATAGCATTAGGATGAAGTGTTTATGTGGCATTTGCTGTTTTGCCATCATTAAAGACTGAGTTACATTATTTGGGGGATGAATTTAATTTAGGAATAGAAGATAGAGGTTACTAAAATGAATGAATGCCTTTGGTCTAGCTTGGACACAGGTCTTGGGTTGAATCTGATATACTTTGAGGAGAAGGTTTTCTTGGTCTGAAAGAGGAATCCTGCCTCTGTCATCAGTCTTTCCATATCTGATCTGTTTTACTGCTTCTGGCCAACAACGAAGTATTTCTTAATCAAATATCAAGTTTGTTAGAAATTCCCTTTAATAATCAGTAGGCCTTGACTGTGGATAGAGTACTTAAATGGACTTTGTCAAAACTCTATTTGCAGTATTCCAGTTAGATACATACATAGCTAGAGGAGGCCTTCTTGTCTTACACTATTGACTTTTAGTAATTTATTTATTTATTTATTTTTGGTTTTTTTGAGACAGGGTTTCTCTGTATTGTTTTGGAGGCTGACCTGGAACTCGCTCTGTAGACTAGGCTGGTCTCGAACTCACAGAGATCCGCCTGCCTCTGCCTCCCGAGTGCTGGGATTAAAGGCTTGAGCCACCAACGCCTGGCTGACTTTTAGTAATTTTTAATTCCACTTATTTATTTGTGGGTAGGACACATATAAGGGTCAGAGGACCACTTGTGGGAGTTGGATCTCTTTCTACTGTATGAGTTCCTGAGATGGAGTTCAGGTCGTTAGGCCTGTCTGCAGGCCCCCTTACCTGCTGAGCTGTCTCACCAGTCTTACGCATTGACCATTAGAAGGAAACCAGAGCCCAGTACACTTGAGGAACTTGTGCAAGGTGTGGCCTGAGAGCAACTGTCTGTGTGTCAGGTCAGGATTCCTTTTGCCTTGAGTGTGTTTTGTGTGAGGCTAATAATTTTATTCTGAAAAGGTGTGATCTGGTAAATGTATATCAAACATGGAACTAGTGCCTGTTCTACTTAACACCACTAAAACCATGACTTTTTAAGCTCCTATTCACACCCTCAAGAGGAATGTTGTAAAAGCACACACTTTACCTGTGAAAACTATAAAATGTTAAGAGCTAACATCTTATTCCTGCAGAGTGGTTTAGTTTTAAAATAGGATGCCAGCCCAGCAACTATAGGCCACTTCATGTCTACATCTGAACAAGCTTCCAGAATATCTGGAACAAAATTCTTTCAATTATTGCCATGCAGAAATTTAGAGATCTTATAATAGTACTTATGTGTATGTAGAACTCTTCCCAAGTGTGTTTTTAATAGGGGTGTGTGTGCACACCCAGGCATGCCAAAGAAACCAGAAGAGGGCATTTGTTGGATGTTGGATCCCTGGAGCTAGAGTTATAAACAGTTGGGAGCTACTGGGAATTGAATTCAAGTCCTCTGGAAGATCAGAAAGTGTTTCTAAGTGCTGAACCATCTTTCTAGGCACCCTCAACTGTGTTTTTAAAAAATATATAATTTACTTTAGTTATCGTAATTGCAATAGGATAGGTTATTTCCATTTTTATGATGAAGAAACTGGTGTGTAAATACAAGGTTTGGTTTGCCCAGAGTGCCCAGGCAGTAACTGCTGTCGTGTGTGTTCATGGTCAAGTCTTAGCCCAGAGGAAGGTACAGCTGAACTGTTTTGTTATTCCTTAGTAGTCAGACTACTTAAGGTGGCTGCTTTGGAGTAAGAAATGATAGAGAGGACTAATACCTACAGACTTTTTAAAAATATGCTTTTATTTCTGTCTGGGATGATTGAAGACTTATGTTGGAAAGGGGGATAAATCTGCCCAGAGAATATATATCACATTAAAATAGAACATTATTTAACATGGGGAGTATGTGTGGTGTATTAAATATACAATAAAAGACCATCTATGTCTTGTCTTTAGCAATGTCTGGGGTTTTCTTTTCTCAGTTCATTATATCTGTTAGCAGTTCTTACTGTGTAGGAGTGATACCAGCAGATCACCTCTGATGTCCGTCTAGATGGAGGGTCTGTGTGGCAGTAACTCCTCCTCCTTGTGTTTGGTTGTGCAGTGCTTCTTAACCTGATTCTGGGTTGTTTTTGTTCGTTGTTCATTTGTTTTTTGAGACAGTTCTCACAGTGTAGCCCTGGCTGGCCTGGGACTCACTATCTAGACCAGGCTATCGTCAAACTCTGCCTGCCTTTGCCTCCTGAGCGGGAGTGGGCCACTCCACCCCACAACTGTGACATTCTCAACCTACGATTACTTTTACTTTGTTTTTATTAT